AGTCCCTCCCCCCTCCCCCCTCCCATGATGGGCCACGGGGTGTATGAGTTCCCCTTCCTGGTCCAAGTGATCTCATTGTTCAGTTCCCACCTATGAGGTGAGAACATGCGGGTGTTTGGTTTTCTGTTCTTGTGATAGTTTGTAAGAATGATGGTTTCCGCTGCATCCATGTCCCCTACAAAGGACACAAACTCTATTCCTTTTTCTTATGGTTGCCATGATCCATGGGTATATGTGTCCACATTCATATCTGCACTGATGGACAAATTGTTGGTATCCAATTGGAGACTGGAGCTGTTCCTATTCGGCCATCTTGCTCCGCCCCCTGAACTCCCTCCTGTTCATTTTTATTTCCCCTTTGGTTCATCCTCCACACTGGTGGTATAGTTTTCTTTCTGAAATATGAGCATGGTGATTCAATTCTGGTCTTAAAGCCCATCAGAAGCTCTCTCAATGCACAGGCATGTCTTCATGTCCCTTAAGGTCTGGCATCTCCCTTGTCTTCCACTATCATCTTCCACCATTATACCACAGAGATTTAGGATTCTGCCTTCAATGACTGTCTTTCAGCTTCCCCATTGAGCCCGGCTCTTTCCTAACTCCCCACTCTTATGTATGCTGTTCTGTCTGCCTGGAACATCCTTCCCTATTAGTCTGTCTGATTCATTCTTGCTTATTCTACAAGGCCATTTAAGTGTTGTCCCTCTGACAACTTACTAATACCACCAGCTGATTTAAATCTTCTTTTTCTCCGTATTTTCTCTGTATTTAGTACCCTGCACATATTTCTGTCATATCACATAGCACCCTCTTGCAATTGGTTGGTTCCTTGCCTTCTTTTACATCTGTAAGACTGTGAACTCACTGAAAATATGAGCAATGTCTTATTATTTTGGATTCATTTTTGTTGCCTAGCAGGTACCTTCAGTATACCAGCTGTTCAAGAAAGGATTTTTGAATTAAAGGAAACAAATTAAAATTACGATTGTGTAAAATTAATTTCTTAGAAGTTAGTAGCCTTTAAATTTCCAATATTTGGTCTTCTCATTAATTAAACATGAGGTTAAAAATGCTTTTCCAATGAGACACACTTGCTGCATAGCAGATTTAGTTTATGATGCCTCCCATGTGGAAGAATCTTGAGTACTGCATTCTAATGGGTCTTCACAACCCTGATTTCTACAGGTCCTAGCCAAGTGAGTGAAGTAATTTTTTCTTCATTTCCCAATGTATGAAGTAGAGTGTTGAGGAGGCCTGCCACCTATGTATCTTGGAAGATCCTCTGGTGATTTGACAATTTACTTCAAGTTTGGGAACCCTTAGAAGAAAAGCACTTCAAATTAAAACAGTTAATAAGCTTGTTTAGTACATTTTAAAAGTTCAGCCTTTTCCTCTCCTTTCTTAATTTTGGTTGCATCTTTCTATCAGGGTTTCTCAACCGTGGCACTATTGACATTGTGTACTGATAATTTTTTTTTTTTGGTAGAGAGCTGTCCTGTGCAATGTAGGGTGGAAAGCAGCATCCTCAGCTTCTACTCACTATGTGCCAGTAGCACCCCTGATGTGTGACCACCTGATGTGTGTCTCCAGATATTGACAAGTGTCTCCTGTGTTGGGGGAATAATCGCCTCATTCCCTGTTGAGAAGCACAGCTTTACACATCATCAAACACTAATTAGGCTGGTTTTTTTTTTTTTTTTTTTTTTTTGAGATAGCCTTTCTCTGTTGCCCATGCTGGAGTGCAGTGGTGTGATCTCAGCTCGCTGCAACCTCCGCCTCCAGGATTCAAGCGATTCTCGTGCTTCAGCCTCCTGAGTATCTGGGATTACTGGCACGTGCCACCACGCCTGGCTAATTTTTGTATTTTTAGTAGAGACAGGGTTTCACTATATTGCCCAGGCTGGTCTCGAACTCCTGGCCTCAAGTGATCTGCCTGCTTTGGCCTCTCAAAGTGCTGGGATTACAGACGTGAGCCACCACTCCCTGCCACTAATAGGTATTTTGTAAATGAATTGACAAAGTGAAAATTCCTTGTTAAAACTCCCTGATGTGACTGCAGGACAACTCAGGGTTGTCAGTTTGTTGTCGCTGTTGCTTTTCTCTCTTCTAGCATTCTAGGGTAAAAGCTATGCGAAGAAACAAATAGCAAACAGATTGTAGTCGAGTAAGGAAACCTACCTCAGCCACAAAGGCTCATCTGTAAGATGACCCACAGCATCAGGTTTTACTAATGAGGAGACAATGTAGGTCTGGAGGTCATAGCCTATATTGTGGAACTTGTGCTTGTCATGAAAGCCTGGAAAAAGTTTTTCTGCACATTGATGTATTAAGTGATTTAAATATTGGTACATGTTGATATATTAAGTGATTTAAATATGTTGCCTATTATGTCTGAAGATATATAACAGAAAACTAGAAAAAAGTCAATAAACCTGAATTTGAAATAATTTCTTATTCTGAGGAAAAAATAAGGTTGAGGGCAGTGAAATCATGTCATCAGCCCTGATCTCTTTTCTGCCTTAGGCACCAACTCCTTTAGGTAATTACTTACATGGATCTCATGCTTTCTGTGCAGAAACCTGAGTGCTAGTGTCGAATGAATGCTTGGCTGGTTTTAATTTTTATTTTTTGACAAAGACTTATAATTCTATAAGAGCGATTTTGAAATGTGTGATGTAGGATGCTATAAAATACAGAATTCCCTTATGTTATTTTATCCTCAATCATAATTTTCAAGGTGGGAGTTAATTATATATTTTAGAGTCAATAACTTCATTTAATGATATTCAGTGGTCTCCCAGATGCTTTTAGACTTTTGAATAAATAAGGCAAAATTACATTATATGAGTTTACTTTCTTTTTTTTTTTTTTTTTTGAGATGGAGTCTCACTCTGTTGCCCAGGCTGGAGCACAGTGGCATGATCTCGGCTCACTGCAAGCTCCGCCTACTGGGTTCACGCCATTCTCCTGCCTCAGCCTCCCCAGTAGCTGGGACTACAGGCACCCACCACCATGCCCGGCTAGTTTTTTGTATTTTTAGTAGAGACGGGGTTTCACCATGTTAGCCAGGATGGTCTCGATCTCCTGACCTCGTGATCCACCCGCCTCGGCCTCCCAAAGTGCTGGGATTACAGTCGTGAGCCACTGCGCCCGACTGAGTTTACTTTCTTTAGACTTCTCATCTTTTTAAAAATTTTCTCTTCTTTTAAAAGAAACATAATATATCTACCATTTTTTCCTGATGCAAAATATTAGAAAAGCCATCCCGTGTGGACTGGTATTTTGTTCAGCCATTATGCTTAGCAAAGTATATTTGCTCAGAGGAATTTTTTAAATGCATTTCTAATCTTTCTCATTTTAGAAGCATTTTAATCATCAGCAGTATCGCAAATACTGTCACTAGGATTGTAACAACACAATGAATACTGAATCATTTTCAAAAATCCCTGTGAGTTGCCTGCACCCGACTCCTCTGGAATGTGTTGCTCTTTTCTCAGGTTTCCGGTTATATTGTCTATCGAGAATCACTGCAGTCTCCAGCAGCAAAGGAAGATTGCTCAGTACCTGAAAGGAATATTCCGAGACAAACTGGACCTGTCATCTGTTGATACAGGGGAGTGCAAGCAGCTTCCAAGCCCTCAAAGTTTGAAAGGCAAAATTCTAGTGAAGGTAATTACTTCAAGTAATGCAATAAAAGACATTCATTATCAGCTAAGCCTGCCCTCCCTTAAAGAATAAAAACTGGTTTCAATGGGGAATAATAATTAGAATCAATACATGAAGCATTGTCTAGATCTGTGTATGCTCCTTATTCCAATGTATTTATAGTCGTGTCTTCAGAAGAAGCTTATTGTTGACTGAGCACATATTCTGAGATTTGTACTTATGAAGTGAAAACATCAATACTGTAAGCCAAATGTTTGATATTTTAGTCTGTAATAGTTGACACTAGAGAGAAATGTGTGTGTAGGAGCGTGAGGTTCAGGAAAGGAGAAGGCTCCTTGTATCCATATCTGAAAGAAGTTCTTTTAGATTTTTTTTTCTCATTTCAAGCTCCAATAACTATCTGTCAAAAAAATAAAAATAAAAAAAAGCTTCATGGTTGATCAGTCTTGGTTATGCAAGTGAGAAGAGCTCACGTCAAAGAGGAACGTAGGCACAGACATCATGCCCCACAGGACTCACGTATATGTGAAAGAGCAGTATGTGAACAGAATGACATTTCATAAACAGATTTTCTGAGGGAGGAAGCTTACTACAATAAATATTATTCATGCAAGGAATAGCCAGAGAGACAGTTCTTTGAGTTTTCAGATGACTGACTTTGCGGTTTTACTCATTTCCAGTGAATTTTGTGTGTTTGTACTAAAACCACCTTGGGTGGCCACATCATTTTGTGATTAAAAATGTAAAGAAAAGCAATAGGGTATTAAGATTCAAACTGGGTTATATTTTACTTAAAAGAGGTGTGTATGGAAAAACAAATACCATATAGGAGGAGTAGGAAAGTCAAGGAGACAATGTAATTTCATGGCAGGACCTCAACTAAAGGGAGAGCAGCACATGGAAAAGAGGGGACATATTCATTCTTAGAATTGGTCAAAACCTGTTTTCTATCGATTAAATGAAATTATAGATTCTGAATACATCAAAAAGGTGTTGCTAGGCATTTATATGCATAAAAATATTTGGAATAAAAGCTCCACATAATGCGAGAGATAACATGAAGGCCAATTTGCCCAAGTCTTGCTAAAGCAAAATTTTATAGTAAAAATTGATTTCTGGGTTAGCAAATGAAATGTCATCTTTGTAACTTTGTAAATGTTTCTACTTCCTAAATATTCTTTAGTCAGCAGTCAGGAGGTTAAATGCAGAATAAATTCATTTGATTGAAATCTTTCTCTTTTGGACAGTGAAACTTACCTTGGATATTTAATGTGGACTAACTGAGTCTCCTCTGCATAACTGGGCTTTGAGTTATTTGACACAGAATATCCCACGGCTTATGGCATAGGGACGAATCAGAGGCAGAAAGTTTGAGGCACTCATGGGAAAGGGTGGCAGCAACGTGAACTGCAAGTATTTCTAGAGCATCTGAGATCCATTTGCTGGTAGCAATTTTGTTTAGACTTTAAGGAGTTGCCTGGATCTGCGGACCAGCACAACCCCATTTAAAGCAAAAACAAGAAAACAAGACAGCTGATTTCTTGTGTTCCTTTAGTATTAGAGCAATCTCTGATTGAAAAGGCAGGATTTCTGTGACTACTTACCGCCTTGGAGATTGACAAGTTGTTTATTATTACAACTCTTACACACATATGTTCCAATCATGCATGCATACACATTATGTGTAAATTTTCTGATAAAATACAGGCAAAGTTCATTTTATTGTATTTTACTTTATTGCATTTCACAGACACTCCATGTTTTGTGTGTGTGTGTGTGTGTGTGTGTGTGTGTGACAAATTGAAGGTTTGTGGCAACTCTATGTCAAGCAAGTCTTTCGGCACTGTTTTTCCAAAAGTACGGGCTCATTTTGTGTCTCTGTGTGACATTTTGGTAATTCTTGCTCTATTTAAAACATTTTCATTATTATTGTATCTGTTATGGTGATCTGTGATCGGTGATCTTTAATGTCACTATTGTAATTGTTTTGGGGAGCCATAATCCCTGCCTATATAAGATGGCAAACTTAATTGATAAGTGTTGTGTGTGTGCTAACTGCTCCATGGACCACCTGATTCCCCATCTCTCTCCCACTCCTCATTTCTCCCAGTTTCCTGAGACATAACAGTATTGAAATTAGGCCAGTTGATAACCCTACAATGGCCTCCAAGTGTCCAAGTGAAAGGAAACTCACATGTCTCTTACTTTTTAAAAAATATTTATTTATTTCGATAGGTTATGTGGGAACAGGTAGTGTTTAGTTACATGGATACGTTTTTTAGTGGTGATTTCTGAGATTTTGGTGCACTTGTCACCTGAGCAGTGTACACTGTACCCAATGAGCAGTCTTTTATCCCTCACCCCCTCCCAGTCTTCCCCTCCGAGTCCCCAAAGTCCATTATATCATTCTTGTGCCCTTGTGCCCTCATAGCTTAGCTCCCACTTGTAAGTGAGAACATATGTTTTGTTTTCCATTCCTGGGTTACTTCACGTGGAATAATGGCCTCCAGCTCCATCTAGGTTGCTGCAAATGCCATTATTTCATTCTTTTTATGACTGAGTAGTATTCCATGGTGTATATATGTATACCACATTTTCTTTATCCACTTGTTGATTGATGGGCATTTGGGCTGGTTCCATATTTTTGCAATTGTGAATTGTGCTGCTAAGAACATGAGTGTACAAGTGTCTTTCTCATGTAAAGACTTCTTTGCCTCTTGGTAGATACTCAGGAGTGCTATCTACCAAGAGGAAAATATTTACTTTTAGTTCTTTAAGGAATCTCCACACTGTTTTCCATAATGGTTGTACTAGTTTCCATTCCCTCCAGCAGTGTAAAAGTGTTCTGTTTTCACCACATCTACACCAACATCTAGTATTTTTTGATTTTTTGATTATGGTCATTCTTGCAGGAGTAAGGTGGTATCACATTGTGGTTTTGATCTACATTTCCCTGATTATTAGTGATGTTGAGCATTTTTTCATATGTTTGTTGACCATTTGTATATCTTTTTTTGAGAATTGTCTATTCATATCCCTAGCCTACTTTTTGATGGTATTATTTGTCTTTTTCTTGCTGATTTGTTTGAGTTCTTTGTAGATTGTAGATATTAGTCCTTTGTCAGATACATAGTTTGTGAAGATTCTCTCCCACTCTGTGAGTTATCTGTTTACTCTGCTGATTATTTCTTTTGCTATGCAGAAGCTTTTTAGTTTATTTAATTCCCATCTATTTATCTTTGTTTTTGTTGCATTCACTCTTGGGTTCTTGGTCATGAAGTCTTTGCCTCAGCCAATGTCTAGAAGGGTTTTTCCAATGTTAACTTTTAGAATGTATATGGTTTCAGGTCTTATATTTAAGTCTTAGATCCATCTTGAGTTGATTTTTGTATAAGGTGAGAGATGAGGATCCAGTTTCCTTCTTCTACATGTGGTTTGCCAATGTTCCAGCACTATTTGTTGAATATGGTGTCCTTTCTCCACTTTATGTTTTTGTTTGCTTTGTCAAAGATCAGTTCACTGTAAGTATTTGGCTTTCTTTCTCTATTCTGTTCCATTGGTCTATCTGACTATTTTTATACCAGTACCATGCTGTTTTGGTGACTATAGTCTTATAGTATAGTTTGAAGTCAGGTAATGTTATGCCTCCAAATTTGTTTTATTTTGCTTAGTCTTGCTTTGGGTATGCAGGCCCTCTTTTAGTTCCATATGAATTTTAGGATTTTTTTTTCTAGTTCTGTGAAGAATGGTGATGGTGTTTTGATAGTGATTACATAGAATTTATAAATTGCTTTTGGCAGTATGGTTATTTTCACAATATTGATTCTACCCATCCATGAGCATGGAATGTGTTTCCATTTGTTTGTGTCATCTGTGATTGCTTTCAGCATTGTTTTGTAGTTTTCCTTGTAGATATCTTTCACCTCTTTGGTTAGGTATATTCCTAAGTATTTTATTTTATTTTTCGCAGCTATTGTAAAAGGGGTTGAACTTGGTTGTTGTTGGTGTATAGCAGTGCTATTGATTTGTGTACATTGATTTTGTATCCTGAAACTTCACTGAATTCATTTATCGATCTAGGAGCTTTTTGGATGAGCCTTCAGGGTTTTCTAGGTATACAGTCATATCATCAGCGAACAGTGACAATTTGACTTCCTCTTTACAGATTTGGAAGCCCTTTATTTCTTTTGCTTGTCTGATTGCCTTGGCTAGGATTTCCAGTACTATGTTGAACAGAAGTGGTGAAAGTGGGCATCCTTGTCTTGTTCTAGTTCTCAGGGGGAATGCTTTTCCTTATTCAGTATAATGTTGGCTGTGGGTTTGTCATAGATGGCTTTTATTACCTTAAGATATGTCCCTTCTATGCCAATTTTGCTGAGGGTTTTGATCATAAAGAGATGCTGGATTTTGTTAAATGTTTTTCTGCATCTATTGAGATCATGGGATTTTTGTTTTTGTTTATATCGTGTATCACATTTATTGACTTGTACATGTGAAACCCACTTGATCGTGGCGGATTATCTTTTTGATATGCTGTTGGATTCAGTTAGCTAGTATTTTATTGAGGATTTTTGCATCTATGTTCATCAGGGATATTGGTCTGTAGTTTTCTTTTTTTTGTTATGTCCTTTTCTGGTTTTGGTGTTAGGATGATACTGGCTTCATAGCATGATTTAGGGGGGATTCTTTCCTCCTTATCTTTTGGAATACTTTCAATAGAATTGGTACCATTTCTTCTTTGAATGTCTGATAGAATTAAGCTGTGAATCCATCTGGTCCTAGACAATTTTTTTGTTATTGTTGGCAATTTTTTAAATTACCATTTCAGTCGGATTGCTTGTTGTTGGTTTGTTCAGAGTTTCTGTTTCTTCCTGGTTTAACCTAGGAGGATTGTATATTTCCAGGAACTTATCCATCTCCTCTATGTTTTCTAGTTTGTTCATGTAAAGGTGTTCATAGTATCCTTGAATGATCTTTTGTATTTTTGTGATGTCGGTTGTAGT